CACTGATGTGCAATGATCAGTTGCAAACACCCTAATCCGGATCAAATGCTTGAGACAAGAATCTATCTTACTCTTTATCATGCCACCAGCACCCGCAAATATCTTGTCTCATGCTTGAGACATTCAATTCTTATTGTGAGGGGATTATATTAGTAACAAGCTTGGTACATATACTAACTTGAGGGAAGTGTTAGATATATTATCTTTATTTTATATTTATTTTTTATCTTTAGTTAGTTTGTTATTATTTCTTATTTATATTTTGGGTTTAGCCCATATTTCTTCTATCATAAATAGAGGAACCTATGTGTATATTCAATATAAAGGAAGATTAATCTCATATATATTTTTCACTATATTTAACATGGTATCAGAGCTAGGTTAGAGCCTATCCTAGCAAGATTTGTGTAGACATATTGTTCCACCCGTTATCAGACCATCATTAATGTCTAGTCTCACGCTCGAGATGTATATACCTCGGCATGAGGGGATGTGTTGGAAGTCCTACATCGACTAGAGATAAGCCAATTTAAAGTATATAAGTGGGTACAAACCTCACCTTACAAGTCGGTTTTGTGGGGTTGAGTTAGACTTAAAGTCCACTTCTTAACAAATATAAACAAATTAAGGTATATAAATAAGTGCAAACCTTACCTTATGTTAGAATATTTATCCTATTTATCATGATTATATTGTGCCTAGGACTATCCTATTTATCATGATTATATTGTGTCTAGGTTACCCTATTTATCATGATTATATTATATCTAGGTTACCCTATCATGATTATATTATGTATAAGGTTACCCTAATTATCATGTACTCTTGTATCTGTTAGAATATTTACCCTAATTATCATGATTATATTGTTTCTAGAGTTACCCTATTTATCATGATTATATTGTGTCTAGAGTTACCCTATTTATCATGATTATATTCCATATTTATCATGATTATATTGTGTCTAGAGTTACCCTATTTATCATGTATTCTTGTATCAATTTATTTTTATAAATTGAAGATTATGAGAGGGTTCAATTATGAACCCCTCAAGAATTGTTTTATACTTTCAATCTCAAGTTGGTATCAGAGCAGGTTGTCTGAGTCTCTTCCTACTCTGTCTTTGTTGCCGCCGGTGGCCAGCGCCGCCACCAGCAGCCTTAAAAATTTCATCCTTAAAAATTTCATCTTTTTTTAAATACCTCAATGAGCAGTCATGTTCTTGTTTTTATCTAGTCTCTAAACCCTAGTTGTTGTCCGCAACTGTTTGTCGCTGTATGGTGTCGTTTGTCGTTGCCTGGCGTTGTTTGTCCTTGTCCACTTGGCACTATTTTTCCACTATGAGGAGTTGTCCACATAAGTTTGTCACCATCAACCTCTGTTTACTGTCATTCCGACGTTGTCCGCTAATGCCTGCCACCGACCACCGCCACAGTTTATTCCGACGACTAATGGATCTGGATCGCCTCCTTCAGCCATGGTCAACCATGCCTGTGTCGAGGGCTAGTTCTCATCCAAGCACTGCCACATGCGCCACATTTGTTCAACCTCCGTTGCCGCTGCCGTCTCGTTTTCTCTGGTGAAGTTAGGGGTTTTGTGTGCATCGAGGAGCGCGACCCATCCCTGGTTGTCGTTGCCATTCGTCTCGCTGGACCAAAAGAAAGAAAAGTATTCTTTGTTTCAGCATTGTTCCTTAGCCTCTTTAATGTGTGTTTAGCTTTGCATATTGTAGCAGCTGTGATGTTTCTGATGGCTTGTGTAATTTATTTACAAGTCTCCAAGGAGAGTCAATGCTAGAGACTATTATGATTTTTCACCTTCACGATTTGTGTCGTCATTTTCGTCGTTTGGCGTGAGGGGAGTATGTTTCCCGCCACTGCAATATGTTTCCAGCCACCGCATGCCCCATCAGTCAATGATGGTAGTCCATGCAGTTTTGTCCTTTCAGTCACTGCAAGCCCCCATCACTTCGTCAGTCAGTGATGGCAGTCCTTGTAGTTTCTCCATCAGGCAGTGATGGCAATTTAGTCCCTGCAGGCTCCATTAGGCAGTGATGGCAATTTAGTCCCTGCAGGCTCCATCAGTGAGTGATGGCAATTTAGTCCCTACAAGCCCCCTCAGTCAGTAATGGCAATTTAGTCACTGTAGTGAGGGGGAGTATGTTTCCAGCCACTAGTTAGACACTAGTCAGAGGCCCCAACAAGTCAGAGATGACAGTCCCTGCTTTTAGCCACTGCAGGTCCCAATTAGTCAAAGATGGCAGTCCCTGCAGTTTTGTCGCTTTCAGCCACTGCAGGCCCCAATTAGTCAGAGATGGCAGTCGCTTTCAGCCATGCAGGCCCCAACTAGTCAGGGATAACAGTCCCTGCATTTTTGTCGCTTTTAGCCATGCATGCCCCATCCTTACTTGATGGCAATCTAGTCTTTGCAGTTTGTCGTTGTCTACCACTCATCATTCACTTTTGATGGAAATCAACTTTGTCAAAGTCATCCTATTTGAAGGTTCATGATGCTAGATAAAGTTTCATGGTTGTCCAATATTATTCTCCATAAGCTTATGAGGTGTCTCTTTGGTTATGCTGGTTTGTGAGTCCAATTTTGTTTATAGACATTCTCTTGATGGTCTGAAGCATATGTGCATCTTGTTCGAAGCCAAAGTTACCATGTCTATTGTCTCGACATTCAAGACAAGTTCATTTTGTTGGAGTGAGTATATTTATTCCAAGCTTGGTACATTAAATACAATTTGTATGTTCTAGCTTGAGGGGGAGTGTTAGAATATTTACCCTATTTATCATGATTATATTCCCTATTTATCATGATTATATTGTGTCTAGAGTTACCTATTTATCATGTATTCTTGTATCAATTTATTTTTATAAATAGAAGATTATGAGAGGGTTCAATTAAGCCATCAAGAATTATTTTATACTTTCAATCTCAAGTGTATCAATTTATTTTTTTAAATAGAAGATTATGAAAGGGATCAATCAAGCCCTCTAGAATTATTTTACAGTTTAATTCTCTAAGTCCTTAAAAATCAATATTGCAAAGTTGAGTTAAACTTAACAGATATTGATTTTGCTTGCTACTATTTTATTTCTTCATCTTTATAAATAAGAATACTTCTATGTGTACTCAATACACATAATCCATTATATTCCTTCCCAATTTCTCTCTTAACAAAATGGTAGTAAAGTGGCACCATACTCCACGACCAATTTTATCACTAATCCTTTCAAAAAGAGCCTAAAGGGTGGGTGTGAACATTTTTACTCATGGACACAGTGATCCACAAAGATCTCTAATTAGTTTCGTGATTAAGCCTAACTCAACCTTATAAAATCAACTAGTAAGGTGAGGTCTACACTCACTTAAATAATATAATTCAATCATAGTTCTAGTCAACGTAGGATCTCTATCACACCCCCTCATGTCAACACAAAACATCTCAAGCATGAAAGTAGAAATTTGTGACGTGTCAAATAGAATGTGGCACAATAGGCCAACAAACCTGCTAGGATTACTTAAGACTGAAAATATGAGTGTGAGAAATAGAGAAGATTGGGAGAAAATATCCCTTGTGTGTTTAGCATAAGCATGTTTATATCAAGTTGAAACAAGGAAAAACAAAGAATAACGACCATGTAATAGGAGTCTAACAAAAGCCATTTGGCCACAAGAGAGAAAACATCAATGTAGTCCTACAAGTGTTGAGTATTGTTGGAGGTTCCACATTGAGTAGAGATATGGCCGGATTAGTGTATGAGTAGTTGCAAACCTTACCTTAAAAGTCAATATTGTGACATTAAGTCATGCCTAAAACTCACTTCTTAAGATAGTATCACATCTTATTCTACGAGTGTTTGTTGGATCCATAGTGTCACATCTTATTCTAGCAATGTTTGTTGGGTCCATAGTGTCACCGACTGTTAGGTTCACAATCAAACTATTTACAAATATCTAGTCTCACACTTAAGATGTCCAATCGTCAACATAAGAGAGTGTGTTGAAAATCCAATGTTAACTAGAGATATACCCAAATTTAGTATATAAACAGGTACAAACTTCACTTCAAAAATTGATTTTGTAAGATCAAGCTCGGCCTAAATCTACTTTGTAAAGTGGTATCAAAGCCTAGTTCATCTCAATGACCAACTTAATCGAATACGATATGGAATACGATATGGAACAAGTGTCGAAAGTCTTTCTGATAAAAGTTTCATACAAGTGTCTCATTATGATACCGCAACACAAGTAATAGTCACCAGTACGGTACTCGTGATTAAGAAATGTTCTAACTCAAAAGATAATGTATCAATGTGGAAGGGACTTAAACATAAGGGGCAATTGTTGGAGTTCAAATATGAGTTGAGGTCTTGCATTGTGTAGAAATGGGAAAGTTGAGTAACACATAAATGAGAAAGACCAACATCATATAACCCTAAAGTTTTAGGTTGAAGGTAGAGTAAAGTTCTATTGTACGGTTGACTCGTGACTTGTTGGTGAAGATCTCTCCATTGTGTAATCCCTTCATAATTGTCCAACAACTGGTTTTTGAACTTGTCCTGACAAAATTTGGTGAGTCTATCATGTCATTTGCTATTGAACTACTCACAAATATTTGGTCTCATGTTTGAGAAGCTCTGTTCTTAGTGTGAAGTTATGTATTGAAGATGTCACATTAACTAAAGATATAATCAAATTATAGATAGAAGTGAGTACAAACCTGACCTTAAAAGTTGATTTTGAATGGATCATTAACCAATTTTTAGATATTAAAAGTTAAACATTTACACACATGAACAATCATCATATTAGCAGGACAAAGGTAATAATACGTCTACTATTTTTAGCATGCACTCGTATGTACAGCTTATAAACATACAAAAGAAGATAAGCAACATAAAATTATACAAATTCAAACAGGAGTTGTTAAAAGGTTGGTGCTCAGACCTAACCAAATTATTAAAGGATTTAATTATAATCAGATAACTAACCTTCATAACTACAATTGCGAAGCAGTGCAGTGACAACATGACGAGTAGAGTCATCAATCTCCACAAGCAAAACTTTAAGGGATCTAATATGCAAAAATCTCTCCCAACATATTATTGCCCCTTGAGGCTGTGGAATATGCTGCTGAGCAGAGGACTCCACAGTCCCCTCCTGTCCAGCCTTAACTCCCTCGGCTAATCCATTGCATTTCACTTCATCACCCTCGCATAACTCGTGTTCCCCGCCAGCAATCTTCTTCCCATCTCGTAAGCGCTGACTCAGTTCTTTCAGCTCTTTGCTGTCACCATCGACACTCATCTGGACAACCCTTGTCATCCAGAATGCCCAAATTTACAGTGAATATAACCCGTCCTCATCCAAAGAAAAACAGCACACATCCAACAATCTCCACGAACCCCAACCCAAATGCAACCGCAAATCACTAGATATGCAGTTAAAAAATATATATACAACGAATACAAGAAAGACTAGCAAATGCCTTGACCAAATATCCACAGCGCTCTCAAACAAAACCCTTTCTACAACAACTCTAACCCTAATGGCGTACAATCACTTTCTTAGACCATTCACTTCAAATTCAACACAAAATTATTCAAAACTAACCATGGAACCTGCAAGAAGTGCTTCAATTTTTCTTCGTAAGTATCTTCCAAACCCTAACTAAGCTGAAGAACTTACTGAGGCCTTCCGTGATTTAATTTACTGAAAATTCAAAACTTCAGAGCAGTAACCGTACACACACAAGATCGTTGCTCAAACATGAACATCCAGAACCAGAAACGACGCATCGTATTCTTCGTGCTAAATCGCTGACACTGTCAAAAACGAATAGATTTGAAAATAGAAAGAAGAAGAAGATATCCTCATTCCAAATCAAAAATTTCAAAAAATAAAACGAGGATTACCAGGTGAGAAACTTCACAAATCGCCATTATGGAGTCATTAGACAAAAGATTGGAATTACGTCATTACGTCATAATAATAACAATAATAATAAAAATGAAACCGCTGTTAAACCTTAAAGCGAAATTAGGATAAACAATTTATCCAAAAAAAAAGTTGTCCATAAATGGGGAAAAAGTCTTGAAGGTGGATCGTGTTCTATTGTGAAGATGAAACGAGATTGACCAATATGAAAGGACGGTGGAGAAGCAGATAACGCCGACGTTAAGTTTAGAGGAGAAGGAAAAGAAAGATATTGGGTGGGTTGGAAGCGCGATGACCGCGGTTGATGACGTGGACGAAGGGAAGGTGTGGAATGTTCGCGAACTGCCACGTGGCGAAGATATTTCCAAGTCTGCATGTTTTTGCAGACGCGACTCTGCTGACGTGGATCAAATCAAAAGCCTGGTGCTCGAGAACGAACAAGGCTAAGAGAAGATCTTCAAGATTTGAAAAAGGACACGTGGCATAATCTCGCTTCACAGGATTCTGGCTTTAAGTGCAAAGTCACAACTTCAACGAATTTGTGTCAACATAAAATGACGGTAATGACCTTAGAGATTCGTACATAAAATTAAAAATTTAGTTAAATTATGATTTCTATTATTGATTAAGTCCGCAATATAAAAACATTACTTTCCGCTCATTAATCTACCTAATCTATAGAAGTTATTGCATATCAATGTGATTTAAACAAAATTATATTTTTAATCTATTTTAAATTCAAACTTCATAGATTAATAAATATGAATAAAAAATATATTTATATTAAATATTATTAATAAAGTTAAATAATAAAAAGTATTAATAAAATGATTAGATATATTATATCTATCCAAATAAAGAACTGAAATATTTATAATTTAATTTGTCTGAGATGACGTCGTTCCTATTATATAATTGCACCTTGAATATCGCATTGTTTCATTACTTCGAATTATCAACATCAAATATTTTGTTTATTCATATTATTCTAATGGAATATTTATTGATTTTGTTTTACAAATAATTTTAAAAAAAAAACTATATTTCTCTTCCAAACGTTATACTTTCTGTATGATATAATTTAAATATAAAACTTTTACTATTAATTTATATCAACAATGTGTTGGTATTAATATTAAGATTTAGTAGTTTGTAAAAAAATACTACTTATTCATAAAAATATAAAATTTAACAAATCATTAATCAAATTTAATCATCTGGGTTTAAAGTACAGGTTTTTTAGAGTTTGCATTTTGAAACAAGAAAACTCCTTACTTTTGTTTTTTAATGGAATATCATTTAATTAACGAGAGAAATTCATATTCAATCATTCGTAGTAAACTTGATTATATAGAGACACTCGTATTTTTTTTGTACAGTAAATAAATAATTTTATAGACTTATTGATAATAAATATATATCTTTAATATATAAATTATGTTATAATTAAGAATGTGGTGAAAAAAATACTTTCAAATATATACTTCTGTGTTAGATCTAGAACCAACTATTTAAGATCAAAGATTGTTTTTAACTATGACTTTTAAATATTGTTAAAAAGTAATTTATAAATAAATATAAAAGATGATAGAGGAATAGAAACTATACGTAATTTGAGAAATTTTTTTGTAAATTATTATAAATATTAATAATAATTAATTAAAAGTGAGAATTGTAATATCCAAAAAAATATAGCATAAAACTATATACAGGAATCATCATTTAATAATATGATAGAACAGTTATAGATCATAAAGTTAATCTTCCAGTTATTACAAAATAACCATAAAATTTAAAACTTTACAAAAGCTTCCTATACTATTGCAAAATTATAGACCACTAGGATGTCAATTTAAAATCATCATTATTACAGAATCATAAACCACTAGGATGTCAATCACTCACCTAAGACCAAGCGGCCATGCACGGGTAAGACTAAAAATCTAACTCTATTGATGAATTATTGACCGACCAAAAGTCTCAAAACCTAAGATTCACTGGTTGAGGAAAACAAACCAACCACAAGACGAGAAATGTGATCAGAGTTTTAAAAGAAGAAGAAAATAAACACATGCAAACATAACTTGGCTTGCATGTGCCAGAAACTAGACTTTCTCAAAATGAGAAAAACCTACCAGCTCAAACCACCACTTGATCCTTGAAAAGAGAACTCTTGCTACCAGCCAATCTCAAA